AATTTCCTATCAGCCTTTCAGAGAAGTCCTCTTCCAGTGTACCAGAGTCCAAATACGTTACGCTCCAAGCCGTAATGTGCTCTGTATTCTGTGACAAATGGGGGCAGTTTCTTCTCATTCCGAGCATTCTCCGAGTTCCTTCGAAGATAATGTTGTTTGTTACACCACACAGAGCCAGCTTTCCATATGCCCTATGGGAACAGAAGGGAAAGAGACCGCTATGGGAAGTGGGTGCCTCTTCGGTGCCCCGGATTAAGAGTGGCAGGGAGCAGGGAGCCAGTCATTCTGTGGTATGAATTATGCACATGTGGGGAACCCCCAGCTGGCTGGGGCAGGGGGAGGGGGCGGGCGGAGGACACTTGCTGCCATGCTGGGCAGATGCAGTGGCAGGCTGGGCAGATGCGCACCATGCAGGCATGGTGGTGGTGGTAGCAGCCAGTAATTCACAACCCAGATGCTGTATCCACGTGGAGAGTTTATTATAATAGAGAGATGAAGAGAAAGATAGGAAAGAGGGGGAGAAGAGAGAAAGAGAGGAAGAGAGAGAGAGAGGTCAAGGGGTGCATACCTCCTGGAGGAAAAGCCGGGGGGCATGGGGGAAAAGGCAGAGTTTTTCCTTAAAAAGAGCCTTTTATGTCAGGACTCATGGCGGTGCAGAATATTAACAACCTGAATAGTCCTAGCTACTTAGGAAACTGAGGCAAAGAGATCCCTTGAGCCCAGGAGTTCCAAGATAGCCTGGGCTACATAGTGAGACCCCTCCCCCCTCCCACCATGGGGAGGAAGGGATATTGTTAGATTTTTCAGTGTTCCTATTGCTTTCAATTGGGACAACACTCAGCCACTCAAAAGGTAAGTGCAGACCAATGAAAACTCTAACATGCAGGAGTGATTTTGACTCTCTCCAATGGGAGTGTTTCACCTCAATACAATTTGAAAGTCTGCAGCTTGCTGGTTTAGTGTCTTGCACGCCCAGATGGACAGTGAAAGTTGGCCAGTCTCTGCAATGGCCCCTTTGTGCAACTGCCTGCCTCCGTGTGAATTCCGGACCCGATGCATTCCATGTCTTCATTAGCTTTATTTAAAACCCTATCATTGCCTGGAGACACCTGGGTCCATCCACAGAGCGTGAATAATTGCAAGAACGGAACAAAATTAAGCACCCAGGATCATCAGAGGTGGCTTTGTACGCGAATAAAGCACAGCTGATGCCCTCTTAGAAGGTGAATTGAGACTAATTGGATAATCTAGAAACCAATTAGCCCGAAGGAGGAAAAAGAAGAGATGCATTCTGAGTGGGAGGAGGAAAGGCATTGTGAGCATGAAGATACAGCTTACAGAACTGAAATGCCACGGGACAGAAACATTCGCCATCTATTTTCATTGCAGTGGTGTAAGGTAGAGTGAAGAGGCTGAAATGGAGTGAGAGGTAGGGCTTTTCTAGTAGAACAGAGTTGTAGGCATGGGTCAGGCTGTCCCTTCGGCTGCAAGACAAAGTTTTCCTTGTGTCAGTGGCTGTGAATCATCCTTTGAAATGAAAACGGTTTGTAGACCTACTTGTACTCAGCACTTAGGTAGCTTTATGTCCGACTCTAATAAAAGCCATAAACATTCTGCTGATAAAAAGTTGTGTGCAAAGGAAAGTGTCCTCTGTACATTTGGTCCATTAAGAAGGCACGGGCTGGGAATAAGTCTTCTAAGAATGTCACTGGATTAGCATGTAACTAATCAAAGTCTGAATCTGTAACACGCTTGATCATATAAGGACACAGGTGGCAGCTGAATTTAATAGGCCCTTGGGGTGTAGAAGCTGTGAAATCGACCCTGTGGCCTCGTTTCTACAGCCCTCTAATCAACAGGCCTCAATAGCTTTGGGCTAAAATGAGGTCATGTTTGCATTTCATAGCGTCTATCACTGGAAGTAACAACTAGCAGAAACATACAGTCAACCCAACGGCCATGGTATCACTTGTATTTCTGAAGTCCAACCCCATGCCAGGAACGTACTGGTCCTCGAAGCACAGGCAAATATTATGCAGTCCAAGTGGGGTAACAAGACCTGGAATGACCAACAGACACTTACCTTGGCTCTGTCTAGTCTCTGGGGACAGGAACTGGTGTCTTGAGACATGGCCTGAGTGGAAGGGAGCTGGCTTGAGCATGAAGCAGCATTCAGGATGGCGTGGTGGTTTGAATGGGAGTGGTCTCCATTGACTCATGTGCGTGACTACTTGGCCCAAAGGGAGTGGCACTGTTAGGAAGTGTGGCCTTGTTGGAGTAGGTGTGGCCTTTTGGGGGGCGAAGTGTGTCACTAGTGAGTGGGTTTTAAGGTCTCAGAAGCTCAAGCCCATTCACTTCCTGCTGCCTGCCAACCTGGATGTAGAACTCTCAGCTCCTCCTCCAGCACCATGTCTGCCTGCAGGCTGCTGTGCTCCCTACCATGATGATAATGGACTAAACCCCTGGAAACAGTAAGCCAGCCCCAATTAGATGTTTTCCTTCATACAAGCTGCTGTGGTCATGGTGTCTCTTCACAGCAATAGAAACCCTAATTAAGGCAGATGTGGAGGAGTCCTGCCCTCGGTTTCCTTGAACCTGTGAGTAGGAGCCACCTGTCTTGCTGCAGAAATCCCAGCATCTGAGCCCTTGGAGAAAGCACATCAGAAAACCATGATGTTCCTGCTGAAGTGCAAAGGACCAGTCAGCACTTGGAGATTCAACTAGGGAAAGATGGCTGACTCTGAGACAGCTACCTTGCCGAGTCCTTCCCCGCACCCCATCTCTTTGGTTCTTGTTGCTAATTCTTCAGTGAAGTTGGTATTTTACTCTCCCTTCCCCGTCCAGCTGTGTCTCCTAGATGAGCTTGAGACCGGTGTTCCACCCTGCTTCTTACTTACACATACACTTGACCTTCCCTGCCTTGAGGGATGCTCTCTAGAAGCATGGAGAGTGTCCATCTTATCCCCCGACTCCGAGAATATGATGCATGGCCACTTGTCCCTACAGATGGCTTTTTAAACCAGCCTTTCCTGAACACAGAAACTGAGTTTGGAAGATAAATTGGCAGTGGCTCACTTATTGACTGGGTTATTCCAACCCCCCACCCACCTACCCCACCCAATCCAGCCCTGAAGATTCTCCCAGCTTCAAGACAAGGTTGAATTCACCTCAGTGCAGTGCAGTGTCCCAAAGAAGGCCCAGGTGCCATCCTTTATCCGCTCCAGTGACCTAGTCACACCTCGTGGTGAAGGTTCCTCCTTGGATGTCCTGTAATTGCTGCTTTGGAACTTATTTGCTCCTTGGAACCTTACCCATGATGTTGGTGGAAAGAAGGCTTCCATGCCCCATGATGTGCCCGGATGTGGGAGGCAGTTGGCACTTTCATATGCTTAATGCATTTCTGCCCTGCTTTCAGAAGGGGCTTTCAAATAGGTGTGTTTGGGGGCAGATTGTTTCGAAAAGTGGTACGTATATATCACATCAAACATTTTACCCATTTTTAATTGCGCAACTCAGTAACATTAAGTACATTCACATTGTGTTGATCATCTAGCTATAAAATTTTTTCATCATGCTAGACTGAAACTCAACACTACTGTTAAGTATGAATTCCTATTTAACATCCTCCACAACTATTCCGAGATGACGACCATCTATTTTTCTGTCTCTATGAGTTTGATGACCAGACATACCTCGTATGAATAGGAGCACCCTTTGGGGTCTTCCTCAATTAGCATAACGGTTTTAAAATCCATCCACATTGTAGCACGTGTCAGAATTGAATGACTTTTGAAGAATGAATATCAGCCCGCGGTTTGGATATACCACATTTTCTTTACCCATTTGTCCGTCCATGGACACTCAGACAGCGTCCCCATGGACGGTGCCGCTGTGAACTCAACCACACATGCTTCAGTGCTTGCTTTCCGTTGCTTTGAGTGTGCATCTAGAACTGGACACTACTCCATCATTTGATAATCCCATGGTTAAAGGAACAGCTATACCATTTCCCATAGCAACTGCTCCACTCCTCATCCCTACCAGCAGGAAACAAGGGGCCCAATTTCTCTACATCTTCACGAACATTCGTTGTTTTCTGTTTCTAAGAGTCATTCCAATGGGTACGGCCTGGGCTTGCATCTCTTTCTAAAGTCCAGCATCTTTTCAGGTACTTAGTGGACACAGGCGTGTCTTCTCCGGAGAAAGGCCTGTTCATGTCCTCCACTCGTTTTTTAAGTTGAACTTTGATACTGTGTTACTATGGTTGTCAAATACGTTTTTCATCTAGATTGAGACATCCTTAGGAGACTGGTAAGCAGCGGGCGGCCAGTGTCACCTACCGGTTGGTGGGCTCTGGCTGTGCAGTACGGCATGCCTGTGAACACAGCCGCCTATTTCCCCAAGAAAGAAGTCAACTTCGGAGACCGCAGTCACAAAACAGCCACACAAACACACTTGGCTCTGCAGGGCAAGAAAGGCCTTGGCTGACTTCAGGCTCTGGGGATCAATCTGCAGCAGCAGCCACCTGAAACTGCACACTGGTCTCACCTGGGGTCCCCTTCCCTGGGATTCTAGGCCCCCAGGCCCGGCTGGTTTCAGCTTTTCAGTCACCTGGAACACAGCCTCATCCAGAGAGTGGCTTTTCCCAGGTCAACGCCCTTCCCCATGTCCCAGATATACCGAACCCCTTTGGGGAAGGAGGTCTTGCTTGGACGTCAGTATTTCTCCAAAGTGCCAAAATAACCAAATAATTTCCAATTGCAGTCAATTGATGATCAAACACAAGGCGCGAGCTGGTTGGAAACACGTGCCTCCGTTTTTCTTTCTGGTTTCCTGGCTTGGTCCGTTGGTCCAAAGCTGGCAAGGGCGGGGTGGGAGGATGCTTCTCAGACCTTTGATCCGGGGGTGGGCGACCCTAACCCGCACCTCTAGGTGCAGGGCGTGGGCCCAGCATCCTCCTCCCTGGCTGCGGCAGGGCTCCCCGCGTGATTCCCTCGCGCGCGCCCCAGCTCTAAAGTAAACAGGGCCGAGGGGACCGGTGCCGCCCGCCCGCTCGCTGCCCGGCTGCAGCCGGCCGGAGCCATGGCCGAGGCGGTGCCGGCCTCCCCTGCGGGCAGCCGCGGCCTGCACCGGGGCATCATCCAGTGGTGAGCGGCGGCGGCGGGGACGCGGCACAGGGCGGGTCGCCGCGGGCGGGGCTGGAGCCCAGGCCGAGGGAGAGCAGGAGCCCCTCTGGGTCGAGGGCAGGAGGCCAGGGCTGAGGACGCCGGTCCCCCCACACACACACACGCGGTCCCCCCGCATCCGCACCGGGCTCCGGTTTTACATTTGGCTGTCCCCGTGGGTCACACTTCCCGTGGGAAGCAGTCCAGCTTGTCCCCGACCTAGGCCTGTTGGTAGGAGACCTGGAACGCAGGCAGGCGTTGGCCAGGGAGGAAACGTTTTTTTTTTTTTCCTCCTGGCGTGAGCTCTAGAGTGGATGTGCCTGACTTAAAACAACTTTTAGCTTCAACAATGCATTCCATATTATTTATGAAATTCATTTCATTTCTTGGCTATTTAAATACAGAAAAAGAAAAAAAACAACTAGAAAGAAAAATACTCTCAGCCCGTGGGACTGAACTCAAAAGAGTCTGCTGCTCTTTATAAATAGGAAAATAATTGAAGCCAGTCCTCAGACCGTGGCTTTATAAGGTGACTATTATACATCAGCCTACATTTTTGTAGGCTTTTTGTAAGTTTTAAGAAATATTTCTCAGGGAAAACTCTTTTTAAAGAGTCACCTGAGTAAGGAATAGAAAAAAAATGAAGAGTATGTTTACGATTATATAGTTATACTTTCTTCCAAAAAAAAAAAATTATGGTCCTTCTCATCTTGAATGAGAAAAAACAACAGCAATATGTTTTCTTTTTGTTTGTTTGTTTTGTTTTTGTTTTTTTGTTTTTTCCTCACCTTCTTAGCAGAAAGAGTCAGGTTGGTACCTTAATTAACTATTTCAGCTCATCACTGCATTTCTGGGGTTTTGAATGTTGCTAGATAGGTTAGAAAGAATGATTATAAAATTTAAAATACTTGGGCGTCCTCCTTAGGTGGCTTGTGGCTTGGGACAAGGCAGGTACCCTAAGCCCCTTCCAGAGATAACGGATATCTTCAAGAGGGTATATTTTAGCAGCAAGTTCAAATCAAGTCCCATGCCCAGAATTCTTAGGTAGGTTGGCCTCTGGTGACGTGTCCTTCAGGGCTGAGAGAAAAGACTTCAAACCTAACATTGGCATTCAAAATACTGCCCCAACTTCTAATACAGATAGCCTTGGAATGGAAGGGACCAGGCTCCCCAAAGGGAGCGGTATATAGATCCATAGAGAGAGCAAAGACCAAGAGCTGGAGCCCTGGCAGTCAGCTCAGGAGAGAGTAGAGAGGCCCCAACTGTCGTCCAGTGGAAGATGGGCCATGTGTCTGCATTACTTCACCCTGTGTCTTCCAGTCAGGGGTCTGTTGGGTGGAACAACAATGATCTATTATTCAGGTGGAGTCCTAGCTAGGACGTCGGTGCCCTCGTCATCTGAACATGATAAATTATCCCCTGGAGAAAACTGGGGATGTTGGCTAGTCTAGGGGAATGGAAAGAAGAGGTTTCCTTCTCAGAGACAGGAAGAGACACAGTCGGACTGGGGAACACAGGAATGGACACAGTACTGTGGGTACAGACGCTTGGGGCCTGGCTGGGATGGGCCTCGGCATCCAACCTCGGGTTAAACACAAGGGCATTTTGGTGGCACACTGGCAGCCCCTGACCCTGGGTCACCTGGGGAAGTGTCGCCTCCCATCCTCTCCCCAGAGTCGCATGCAGTAGAGGTCAGACTTCCAACACCAGTTACTCCTTGGGGTTGCGCTCTCCCAGGGGCAGTCTGCTTGCACCTCTAATGCCTATGGCTTTCATGCTTCTATTTGGCCTTGTGATGGGAGAGATAAAAATGGCAATCCCTGAGAAAATCAAGTTCATAAAGAAAATGGCTCACCCTGACTAATGGCTCCTCCAGAGGTTTCAGTCCAGGGCCACCTGGCTCCATTGCTTTGTGTCTGTAGCAGGCCAGAGCATCATGAAGAGTGTGACTCTGAGAGCCATGCTGCTAATGGCAGGCATAAAGCAGAGAGGAGGGGACCCGATGTCCCAATATCCCCTTCAAAAGCACATCCCCAGTGACTTAACTTCCCTACAGCAGTCCCACCATCCCCACAGACACCATAAGGTAGTGGCCAGGCTGTTAGCCTGTGGGCCTCTGGGACCAATTAACATCCACACCCTCCCACCTGCCTTGACTCCTTGAGTGTACACTGTGGTATTATTTTGCTTTACCCGGGTAAATAATTCTCTGTCCTGTAGTTACATAGATCTTGGCTACAGTCTCTGTAAAGATTCATCCAAGAGTATCTACTTCTTTTTAGCATATGACTTCCCCTCCAATAAACTCCCAAACCTTACAGTGTTGACAACTGAAAACCTGTAGTCTGCGCAAGGCCCTGGGTTCGGTCCTCAGCTCTGAGGGAAAAAAAAAAAAAAAGAAAACCTGTAGTCTATATTCCTAACACTGGCCTGAGGATAAAAGAGATCGTTTTTTTAGGCTGCCTGTGAGCTTCTGCTCCATTCAGTAACCTAGACAGAGGTCATTTGGCTGGACCCATGTATGGCCTGGTCACTGGCTCTGTCAGAGTGCCCTTACTTCAGAAAAGTAGCCACCAATTTCCTCTTTCTGATTCCCCTCTCTCTGCAGGCTAGTTGACAATTTCTGCGTCTGTGAAGGGTTTAGTGTGCCTCGATGTCTCATGTATGAGATTTATGTGGAGACCTGTGGGCAGAGTGCTCAGAACCAGGTTAACCCAGCAACATTCGGGAAGGTAAGTAGGGAGGTTTAGCAGAGCTGTATTCACTGGGGTGTTTTGGGTTTTGTTTTGTTTTATTTTGTTTTTTTAAGTTACAGCCCTGGGTGGCTTAGGTGTGAAGATACATTCTGAGAAATGTTGTTAGGGTATATCCTTGTTCAAATATAGACAGAGATAGGTGCAGTGTTGCTGATGGCAAAGCCTTATGGGACCCCACATATGTAGAACTCGGCTGATTGCCCCTGAGGAAAGTCTAACATGCATTTGGGTTTAAAGGGGTCTCAGCAGGTCTAGCTGGCTTTGTTCTCAGGAGGCACCAGCCAGTGGCTTCCATTTGTATTGAAAATCTGATTTACATCTCCATGCTTTACAGCGGTTTGGGGGATAGTTGGAGTACTCTCTTTGTGGCAACCCCAACATTCGCCAAAGAGCTTGGTTTGCTGGGCACTTACTCCTGCCCAGAGTGCCAAAGCTCTCAGAACACAGTTCCGAGTCACTCTGGTACCCAGCAATTGATGTTTCCTGCACTTCAGTTGGATTTAGGGGACTCATTGGCTTTGGAAGTTAGTACTCACATCCAGGAACTTCATCAGAGAACAGTTAATACACAACAAAATGACAGTCTGAGACCCTCTTCGTTCAGCAGCTCTTCCGAGCAACTGCTTCCTGGTAGACCCTGCTTTCGATGCTGGGAATACAACAGGGAGGTTGACAGAGAACAATCCAGCCCTCACTGCGTTCTAGTTGTTCAGGCTACCAGGCCTAGGCAGGTATCACCAGTGTTGTTTGATTGCTAGCAAAATAAACCTGGAGTGATTAAAGCCAAGGGTCCCACAGCTGGCCACAATGCATGGAGAGCAGAGCTAGCCTCCTGAAGCAGGTGCAGAGTTCTTTCCACTTGATTTCACCAGAAACAAAACAAAACAAAACAAAACAAACAAACAAACAAACAAACAACCTTGAGCACAGAGACATTGGTGATCACCTAGTCTGAATGATGCCCAGAGCAAGAGGAGCCTTCTAAGCACCTTCCCTTGGCTGTGAACGTCATTGAGAACAGTGCGCCCTCTCTGGTGAAGCTAAGTGAAGAACAGCACATTTCTGCAGAGGAAAGGGTGCTGTTCCTCTGGACAAACAGCCCACACCGGGATTTGTAGTTCCACTGACAGAACACAGGCTCATGAAAATCACTGACCTCCTCATCAGGGGGCTTGGCACAGTTGACAGCCTGTACCACATATCCAGGTTGATCTTAAGTGACAAGGGTGACCAGGAGCTTGCTGATGGGAGTCACAGAGCTGCCGACTCTGTTTCTCCGCTTTCTTTGTAAGGGGCCTTGTGCACACAGAATCGGATTGGTTGAGGGTGTCATTTGATCACTAGTGAATGTATAGCCTGATGGTTAAAAAATTCGTCACCGTCCTCATCATCTTGTCTGGATAAGAAAAGCAAAAGAGCAAACAAACCAACCAACCAAACAAACAAACAAAAACAAAAAACCAAACAACAACAACAACAAAAAGGACAGTGGTGGTGCACGCCTTTAATCCGAGCACTCCGGAGGCATAGCCAGGCGGATCTCTGTGAGTTCGAGGCCAGCCTGGGCTCCAGGAAAGGCACAAAGCTACACAGAGAAACCCTGTCTCAAAAAAACTAAAAGAAAAAGAAAAAAAAAGAAAAGAAAAGAACCTGATAAAGACAAAGAACTGAACCAACCAGGGAGATGGCTCTCGGGGGAAGGGACTTGCTGAGCGAGCGTGAGGACCTGACTTCCCATCCCCAGCATCCACGCGAAAAGCTGAATGTGGTGGTTCATGTCTGCAACCCCAGCACTGGGGAGACAGAGACAGGTGGGCTCTGGGGTCTTACCGGCCTCTAGCCAGGCGGTGAGCTTTTCATCACTTGATAATATTATATGAAGAGCTCCTTTGATCCTTGTGTGATATTGAACTTACTTTGTGCAATCCCCTACCATGGGTGGACACTTGGGCTGTTCCCTGATGTCCCTGTTGTAACCAATCACGTGCCTGTGTTCGGGTGTGCGTGTGAGGATCGTCTCTTGGGCATGAACCTCAAGAGTGACATGGGGAGAATCACAAGGTGTGTGGTCGTGGGGACCCAACTGGTCTCCAAGTAGCTCCCTTACCTTCCACTGGTAATCCTGGGCATGCCGGTGTGTTTTCCCAAACTGAATTATGTAGATCTGCGCTTCCAACTCAGCCCTCACAGCTGAAGCGTCCAGGCTTTGATGACTCTGTGCTTGTGATAGGTGGCTGAGCCTTCTCATGGGACAGCTGCTTGAATATGGGAAGCAACCGCTCTTACCGCCTTGCCTGGGTCACAACTACTCTTGGCTCCTTAAAGCCACTTTCCTGCCTACCCATTTTATTATGACCTCAGTTTGTGGATATTCCCCCTAAAAGTGGCTTTATGGATGCCACCCAGCGCCTCTCTACTGTGCTCAGATGCAGGAGTGTTTTCTTGTTTGTTTTCCCTTTGTTTCTTCTTTTCTTTGGGGCTTTGATCCTTCTTGTCATTCCCTTAGTTTCACTTTAAATCTGTCACCAACAAAAATAAATCTTTTTTTTTTTTTTCTCACATAAGCAGGTCTCCCAGGACAGCTTTAGAAGCTGTAAATACTCCATGTCAATAAACGAATCAAAACCAAAGAGGAAGAAACATTCCAGGCCCCTTTATCACTACATCTCACGAGGTGACTCAGGAAGGTTTTCCAGCCCGCTGGGAATTCCTACCTGCTATCACACAGCCCAAATGTTTGCGATTTCATCACTCGGAATTTTAGGAAACATTGTCAAAGGCACTGCAAGAGTGCTGGGTAGCCTGGCATAGCAATCTTTTCAGAAGGAACTAGGTGACGTCAGCAGGGCATGCTCTTTCCTGGGCTAAGACTGCAGAGACATCTTCCCATCTCTCTGAATGGTGTCGTTAGAGTTTGTTCAGTTCTAAAAGAAAATTCTCTTCCACCCCCTTTTAGGATCTGGGGTCTGGGAATATAGCTCAGTGGTAGAACCCTTGCTTAGCATGGGGAGCCCCTGTGTCCAGTCTCTGCACCAAACAACAGAAAAAAAAGATTTAAAAAAAAAAAAAAAAGATCTTGTCGCGCCTCGTTTCACAGTGCAGAGCATTCCAAAGGAAAGAAATGAGAGACTCCAGTGTCTGACCTCTGCATGTATTTTGAATTCTTTGTCTTAATATTTCCCTTAGAGTCCACTCCCCAAGATGCCAAGGTTCTAACATTTAAGTTTGGTTGGCACATTGCCTGGAGAACAGGCCAGTGGAATGGGACTGATTGTTGGGAATGTGTCCTCTGTGCCAAAGCCGTGGCTAAATGGAGAAGGGAAGGGGAAAGGGATATGACCGCAAAGCATGTTTACAAGAGAAACAGCAAAATATCCAATTCTCACTTCCTCCCTCCTCCCCCGGGAGCTGAGTTGATTCCCAAGGAGTTCCTGCACAGATGATTGGGATGGGCATGCAGTGTGCGATGCGCTTTCTGGCTGCAAAGGATATCTTCCATGGATTGGGGAGTTTCCGGAGGCCGGCTTCCTCTGCTAAAATAACACGGACGAATGTTTTTCTGATTAGAAAAGGATTGCCTCTCCTTTGTGAGCAACGTGGACGTCGAAAAGTGTTAAGAAGGGGGAAATCAGTGCTGGCTGTAGCCTCACTGTCGAAGGTACGGGCACGTGCGTGGTCCATTTGCACACATGCGCACACACTTGTGGGAAGAGCAAGAGCTGGGGGTGATCACAGACCTGGTTCTCCTGTCCCTTGCTCCTGTGTAACCGATGCTCCTCCGTTTCCCTCTGCCCCGATGAGCTCGTGAACAGGCAGCAGGCCTCCTTCGAAGCCCTGGGTGAGGCAAAGTTCTCGTCACCCTAGTCCACTCAGCCACAGCAGCTTGATACTTGAAACGCCCACCCTCATATAATGCCCAGACTCTAGCGCAGCTTCCAAGTGGTGCGCGCTCCCCGTTTCCCAGCTCTGTGCCATGCCACGAAGAACCAGGTGTGGGGGCTTGTTTCCTGTCTCCTGTCTCACCCTGCTTCAGGTGTGGGTTGAACCTTTCTGGGAGGAAGAAGGGAGAAAGGAAGGACAAAGAGGATGTGCTCTTTTTTTTGTTTGTTTGTTTTGTTTTGTTTTTTGAGACAGGGTTTCTCTGTGTTGTTTTGGTGCCTGTCCTGAACCTCGCTCTGTAGACCAGGCTGGCCTCGAACTCACAGAGATCTGCCTGGCTCTGCCTCCTGAGTGCTGGGATTAAAGGCATGTGCCACCACCTCTCAGCGAGGCTGTACTCTTTTAAGAGCCAGCTGGACCCATTTTTTTTTTAAATGATATATTTATTTTTATTTTATGTGCATTGATGTTTTGCCTGTATGTATGTCTGTGTGAGGATGTCAGATCCCCTGGAACTGGAGTTACAGACAGTTGTGAGCTGCCCTGTGGGTGCTAGGAATTGAACCTGGGTCCTCTGAAAGAGCAGACAGTGCTCTTCACCACGGAGCCATCTCTCCAGCCCCAGCTGGACCCATTGGTGATGGATTCTTCAGTGCCTGCCTTGAGCACATTTCAATATGTGCCCCTCGGCTTGGGAGACAAGGTTTCCGGTGGAGCTTCCTGGTGTCTGCCTGCTTTCTTGTGTTCTGCAACTATACCAGAAAAGTCAGTGCTCTCCCCAACTCCAGCTCTCTCACACCTTGCTGACTTCCGGCCACAGAACGTGCTTTGCCCCTCTTGGCCCGAGCAGACTGTGGGTGGTGTTCACAGTACCTAGAGCAGTAGCCTTGCTCTCTGTTTATCCACCAAGGCCCTTCTTGCCCGACCCACACGAGGTCTGGGTTGTCATAAGATGGCAACTGCATTGACCTCGTAGGAAACACTTGGAGCGACTGGACCACCCTTCCCACACACCCCTCTCAGCAGAGATGGCGGACCCTCAGCAAGAAGCCCTGTGCGTTTCCTCATCTCCATGTCACTGTATAGGAGTGAGCTCAGGAATTTTTTTTTTTTTAGTTTTATAAATAAATGCCCACAGATACAAGTCCCAGGTTGTGTTGCCACATGGTTCACTGTTCATCCTTCTCTTCCTCCTTTTACTCTGCCGTCCTGTGTAGACACTGCAAGGATAGATAGATTAGAGAGTGACGTACAGATGGCTGGTGGACTGACGGGTAGACGGACAGAAGATAGACAGATAGACCTATAATAAGTAGATAGGTAGTATAGCGAGAAATCCAAGGCGGTCTGCTTCAGGGATCTAAGGAGTTTACTAGGACATAAATTGGAGAAAACAACTCACTAAACAGAATAAGGCAAAATCGTCGCAGAGTCCTGGAAGGTTGATGTCCTGTCCCACAATGCTCCTGCTGCCTGAGTCTGTCCACATCATCCAAGCCCCCGGGGGAGAGAAGAGAGAGAGGTGTATGTGCCCCTCAGATCTTAAGCTAGCCCCAAGGCCACACCCTAGGGGCTGGTACCTCAAGTTCATTGGTGGAACAGGTACCCACTACAAGATAGATAGACAGACAGATAGACAGGGATGAGAGAAAGATGAAAAGTCAGATAAGAGGAAACCCCTTCTCATTCCTCTCAAAGGCTGCTGCTGGAAGATAATACAAAAGGGAGGTGAGTGTACAAAGCCCAGCAGGAGCTTGGCCGAGCATTTTTTCAGACAAAATGCAGACATCATTGGCAGTGATGTGGCTTTCCCTGTTCTGGCTTCCAAAGTGCCCCTACATGCAAGATTTCTACTTCTAGCAGATGTGATACTGGGCCTGTGGTTAACCCCTTGATAAGGCAACTATGAGAGATTCCTGTTGATACATGGAACTTGGGCATCCCTGAACACAGGGCACATCAAAGCAACTCAGCCCCGAGATGTGAATTTGAATCCAAGCAGCTGTTATTTTGACAGTTTAGTACCCTTCTCTGGTAAAAGCCTTGGGAATGAGAAAAAGGGGTGAGCCATGAAAATAACTATGACGTCAGAAAAAGAAGAAAGCATTCAAACAACGGTGGCAGCCCGCAGGCTAGACCCAGGCCGCTGGTGGTAGTCCAATTTCTAGAGAATTTTCATGACTCCGGCCAGTGGTGTAGCATTGAAGAGAACAGAATGCAAGACGGCACATATTATCAGATGCCGGGGATTTCGTCTAGAAACACAGAGAATGCATATTAATACTGAGACCCTAAAACAAAGTTTTGTTGTAGAGCAGTGGTCCTCAGCCTTCCTAATGCTACAACCCTTTAATACAGTTCCTCATGTTTTGGTGACTCCCCCAACCATAGCATTATCGTTGCTGCTTCATAACTGTGATTTTGCTACGTGTCATGAACGTAACATAAATATCTGTGTTGTCTGGTGGTCTTAGGCCACCCCCATGAGAACCCATGGGGGTCGTGACCCACAGGTTGAGAACCACTGTCTTAGAGGTTTGGTGCTGGGAATCTACGCCAGGACGTTACACACCCCAGCCTGGACACCAAGGTTTATTTAAATGGCACTTTTCACTCCGTGACATATTTTACTTATCTGGTAGGCCCCCCTAATTTCATTTACATGTATACTTTTTATAATCTATTATACTATTTGTAAGTATAGATAAAGTGAGTTTGTTTTCCCTTTTCAAATTGCATCTTTAAAATCTGCTTGTCCCCGCAGCTCGTGCGCTTGGTTTTTCCTGACCTGGGCACCCGGAGGCTGGGCACACGAGGAAGCGCCAGGTAGAGTTATGATGTGTGCTTTGTGTTAAGTGGTGGAAACGACAGTGCGGACAAATCACAACAGACGGCAAAACGTGTGACACAGAATAAGCTCTACATCACAGCTCTCACCAAATGGTGCCGCGGTTCAGCCCGAGTCCCTGTGCCGGGGGTCACGCAAGGCAGCGCTGCATTTGTTTGCTTCAAAATCTTATCAAAATATGAAGATCACGATGTACACTTTAAACGTTTAGAAATGCGGCCACTCATTAAAATGTTTAAACAATTGCACACGTAGAATAATGCCAGTTGTTTTCAATTACTCTTTGAACTGAACTGTCTAAATATTTGGTCAGTTAGCCTATCGGTTATACTCAAGAGGCTGGGGCCCAAGGTGGCAGTTTTAACAGGAAATTCCAGTGCCATCGAATGTGTCCTTATCATAATTGCCAGGCAGTTATCATTGTCATTTGTTGTTTGTTTTCAATCAAGACAGGAAATCAGTGAGCAGGGACAGAAGCCAATTAGAGGGAGGACTGGCTGCCCGCAAAGAAATTGAGACAGTGCGGAGTTTGCCAGATCTAACCTTGGCAGTAATTAAGTTGGAGAAATCTGGTTCTGTTGTTAGCCCGGGCACACGGCTGTCGTTTCACAGACTCCACAGCGGAGATGGGGCCTTGAGGAAGGAGTCTGGCTTTCTGCAGGCTGAGTCCCGGGAAAGACGTGAAGGATGGTAGGACAGGAGGCCTGCCCAGTACATCTCTCTGAGATGAGCAAGTTTGACACTGAGAAAGCAGAATTGAGCACGCAGCAGCCCTCTCGTAGGGTTGTGGAAATGCGTGGGATGATGGGCTTGGACTTACGATGGGTCAGAGATGCGGTGGGAACACTTAACCTGC